CACCGGGGCAACCGGCTCTTAAGGGCTCCAGCTATTCACACGCAGATTCAATAGTTGTTTTTGCAGCGCAGGTGGAATGTCGTGGCAGATACAGACTGCAAATTGCTGTCTTTGGACTTTCAGACCTTGGTCGAGGCCTTTGCAAGATTCATAATCAATTGGTTTTGGATATGCATTGTCAAACTTTTGCTTGCAGACGCAACCACACATGCAAGTTTGTAGACAAACATGATGTTTGCACCGCACATGTATCATGTGTTCAACTGGGCCCTGACTACCTTATTTGCTTTGCAGACGTCAGAACTTGTGAAATTCAAAGTGCATTCTTCGCAGATGTTTGCAAGTGATGTTGATGAATGCCTGCAGCGAGCATTTATGGCTTGATGCTCAGCAAATTCTATTCTTTTGGGACCTTTCAAAGAGACATTCCTCTTTTGGCCTGTTTTCCTGTTGCTCCATTTTCAACTCTTTCACAAGCGAAGTTGATGAACATGGCCGGTTGAACTTCACGTGGTCCAGGTTTTCGGCCTGAACCAAGTGCCTTTTTTGGCAGGGCTTGCTGCGACGCAGAAGCTACTTTTGGCATCGGCCATGGAGGTGCTTTTGAGTGCCGCAAGACAGGATAAGATTCTTAAGATCAAATTGGATGCAACTGTGGCTTTGATCATTGAGTTTGACAGTGTATTGGGTGATTTGCTGTAATTACAGTAACTGCTAGACCAAACATGAGCTCTCGTCATACACTGCCATCAAGCTGCAAGCCTTTGTAAAGTTGTTCAATAGCAGCTTTCATGTTTCTTACGCAGGTGGAGAATTACAAGCCCGGAGAGCTTTTGACTGGAGATGTGCAGTGCGCCTCCAGGGTTCTAGTGAATGGATGCTCACTGCTGAATTCATGTTTAACGTGGACCAAGGTTTGCTTTGGTTTTTGATGGCACCTTGCTGGTGCATCGCAATGATGCCCTTGAAGAGGTGGTTTCATATTGTTGAGACTATTGCACTTTCACCATGCAGCAACACGAAGATATGATGTTTGCATATTGGCAACGGCTCTGGGCACAGGCAGTTCCGCGTTTAGTTGGTGTTTTTGTGACCTGTTGTGAATTTGGCCTGTTGTTCCTCCAGGAGTTGGGCCACGGGGAGCGGTACATCAACTCAACCTTGTTCTCACCACAGGAGAGAGTTGGATTTGTACACCAAGTCTCAGCAGAACTGGTCGAGACACCGTGGAGACTTGCGAACTGGAATGCGTTGAATGGTCTGTTCCTGCGATCCTGAAGGACGAGGCAGAGCGGATGTATGAGGAGAGTGAGGACTTGATTTGTGCTTTGTCGAGGATTGCGGTTTCTGACTTTTTCAGATGAGCATCGAAGGATGAAGCTCCTGAGGACAGCTGCTTTGGGACTTTTCGCATGTAATACTTATCGTCACACGAAGAGTGTTGTCAAGAAAAGGGATAAAGATAGGAGAGGAGATGATGCGATGAGTCTCACAATCCATCATCTTCCACGGATTTGACAGAGGTAGTATATAGTGGCCTTTGCAAACCCTCCCCTTTAGAGTCAGATGGCTTAGGTGTGGTGTGTCCATGTGCTGTGGACATCACCTCCACCTATTGTTGAGTGCTCTTCAACGACCTGACCAGGCAGCCATCCAGCTTGTTGCCGGAGAGTTGGGCCTCACAGTGGGCACCCTTGCAGGTAAGCGTGCAGCACAGGCTTTCAAGGAGCACTTCACACCTCCATCGACGTTTGGTGTTTCAGAGGATTTGTTTATATAATCTCTTTTGTTAGGGACTTTGTACTCTTCCGTTTCCAACCTATTTATGAGGCTTACGCCTGACAGCCGGGCGCCGGCCTATTTGGGTTTGGGTATGTGCAGGGCTGGGTCCTCTCTCTCTCTCTCTCTCTTTCTCTTTCTCTTTCTCTTTCTCTCTCTCTCTCTCTTTGAGACTTGGTGGGGCCTATATTGAGCAAAGTTAAGCTATCTGGCGCGCATCTTGGTCCTAGGTTGGGCCAAGTTGAGCCCATGTGGTCTATGTTGGGCGCATCTTGGGCCCAAGTTCAGCCTATGTTGGGGCCTAGGTCGGCCTATGTTAGGCCTATGTTGGCCTAGGTTGGGCCTATGTTGGCGTATGTTGGCCCCATGTTGGCCTATGTTGGCCCTATGTTGAGCCATCTTGGAGGCTATGTTGTGCATATGTTGGCTATCTTGGGTCTATGTTGGGGAGATGTTAGGCAACTTATGTGCCCAACACCCACGAAATGTCGATTAAGCCTGTCCGCGCGGCACGCATAACCGACACCACCGGCGCCCTGTTAGGCGAAAGTCGTGGACGCCGAAAGCCACGAAGCACTGTAAAACACGATGTTTTTGAACATTTTTTGAACATCCTGCGCAAGATACATATAAATCTGTCGACCAGATTTGGGCGGGGGTCGACCGGGGGTCGACACGGGGTCGGGCGGAGGTATCCCCGCGGTCGAACAAAAGGGTCGGCGGCAGGGGCGGCGAGCGTATATAACCTTCGGTTACCAACCGAAGGCCTCCGGCAAGGGAACGTGCGCGTGGCCGGCGCCCGGATTGAAACAGGCTAGCGCCTGCAGCCGCCGACCCCTAGGGGCCAGACCACAGGCAGCCAAATGGGTTAGGTTTTTTTTGAAAAATCGGGGAACCCAAAAAACAACACGGAACCCCTAGAGACATGATCTATCACTGCATCACCAAAGTAGGCAGAAGAGAGCACGGCAAATGGGTTTGCATTTTTCTTTGAACATCTGGGAACCCAAAACACAACACGGAGCCCCTAGACAACCACAGAACTTCCTAGAAAAGCCATAGAAAAGCCATAGAAAATCCTGGAAAAACCATCGAAAAAGGCATGAAAGGCATGAGTAAATCTTACAAAAACCTTTGAAGATCATAGAAATCCAGCGGAAAACGTTACAAAATCTAGGAAAAGCCAAGGGCACTGGCAGGGACCAGGCCGGGACTCGAGCCCGGGACCATTTAGGGACCGTGCTTATTTTCCCGCGCGGGTGGAGAGGGTGCCCCAATCCCCAGTAAGAAGCAAACGAATACATTTGGAGAAATTTTGGACAATTCTTGGCTACTTTTCGTCACTTCAGCAAAGGGAGGTATAGCCTTAATCATAGCCTTAACCTTAATCATAGCCTTAATCAACAGTCACGCCTGACCCCACGAGTGGGGTCGGCGGAGTTTGGTTCTTAGTTTGGTTTTGGCCTTTTGTTCCTTGCTGACTGTCAGCTTTGATATGCAGGAGCTTGGCGTATCACCAGTATTGAGTGCCGAGGATAGAATCATGTTCACGTGGAAGGACTATGGTTTTGGAAACAGCACTCGGACGTGCACTTGCACAGGAGACCACAGACATTGCCCTTGAGGTTCTGCAGGCATTGCAACACCGCTTCACGGTTCAACTTTTGATAGTGAAATGCTTACAGCTCCTTGCAGCTCTCTGATAGGCGCACCGAGTGTGATGGCCTCAAAGACGCACAATGCCATGGATCAAGTGGGACTTTACGCGTTCCCAAACATTGCGAGCACTCTCATTTTGCATCGGTCGTGTCAGCACACCCAGTGTCAATCCATTGGTGTGCTGCTACTTCGATGTATCATTTTATTTTCATCCCTCATCCCTCGACTGGCAGATGTTCTTTAGTGAGCTTCCTGTTGATCGATTTGCTCATTTCCAAGTAGGTTTACTGGCATTTTGTAGGAGCGTGCAGTTGCCGCACGTTTCTCATTGTGGTTTGTGTATGTTTCAACGATGCTGTTGTTTCCACCTTCGTGCTGGACTGCACCCACGCTATCTTGCCTATCAAGGTTGCAAGTTTGTTGCGAGGTCGGTGCTGCGGCATTTGTCCTGCAAGCAGATTGAGCGTTTGGTGAAGCAGTCGCGTGGATTGCAATTAGAGAACGTTTCTTCGAACAAATGTATAGCAGGCATCCCTCAAAGGTTGTTAGATTCTGAGGTTAGTGCCTCGGGTCTACGTCCATGACACCTTCATTTTTGAGCAGGTTAGGGCGGTTGCATTTCTGTTTTGAGGAAGGAGCAATTATGACCTGATTTCACATCATTTCAGTGCTTTGCCGGCAGGGGGAGATTGGCACCGCTTTCTACATTGTGGCCAGCGGGCAGGTGCTTTGCGCGCTTCCCGCTCTTTGCCGTTCAGCGCTTTCAGCTTCCGACCTGCTGTTCTGCACTTCGTCCTCTATCAGGTTCAAGTGATCATTGATGGCAAACCAGTTCGTACGCTGGCTAGGCAGGGAAATACCTACCTTTTGGATGTATCAACGTTTGATGGTGGGCTCATAAGTCAGAAGGTATAGAGTCTGATTGCCTTATTAACAGTGCGCTAGACTGTTCCAGGTGTGAATTCCCGGTGTGCAGCTTTGCCCATGAACTGTAGTAAGCAAGAAGTTTGTGGGGACTTGCATTCGATAAAGATCTCCAGGCATGGACACTTTGGAGAACGTGCGCTGCTGTTCGAGGTGGTATGCTGCTGAAAAAGATAACTTGTGATAACCTTTGATTAACGCCCTTCCTTTTGTATTGCAGCTTCCCTCAGAAGGGCATGTGGCTTGCCACAGGAGCCTCGTACAGCGACAGTTCGAGTTTTGAGCAGCGAGGCATTCACAGCAATTGGATCAGCTTCTTTCAAAGCGAGACACATTAAACTTGGCCCAGAAAGACATGATGGCTTGCCACGGTAGGCAGAGCTTTGGTGTTTGGAGAAGGCTGCCTTTGTGGAGGTTCTTACTGAGAACCTGCGTGAGGCGCTGTTCTGTTGCTTTCAGCGGACAAAACAGAGTTTCCTGATTTTTCTCGCAGGAAATCATGCGGCGGATTGAAATTCAGGAGAGGCATTGGCCGCCTTGGCCAGTTTTATTGAGCCCTTTATTCTTGTTAGCTGCAGGACTCCAACGTTGAGCTTCAAGATCTCACTCATGTGAGAGTCATTGGCATCGGTGGTTTTGGTCATGTGAGGCTCTCCTCATTTGCTTGCTTTCGGATGTTCAGACTGCCCAATAAAGATCAATAGAGTGCCTTCTGAAACATTTTTGTGCATTTGCCGAGTGAGATAGTCACACCACTTTCGTTTGAGGCTTGTTGAAGACCGTGTCACTGGCTTGAGGCCCTTTTCTAATCATTCTAATCTCGAACATAGCTTCAATACCACTTGTAAATGATTTTGCCGGGTCTTTGTTCCTGCGTGCTTTCACAGTTTAGGTACGCACTCAAGCAGGTCAAGAAGGTACTCTCCCTAGCTTCTCCAAGTACCTGGCCTTCTGTGAAAACTGCAGGAAGGGATGATCAGCAATCCGCAAGCACAGTGAGCATTATCAGGTCGATGGCCAGGTGCCTCCGCATGTTCGCCAAGGGCTTATCGAGATCGGGCAGACGCAGAGCATTTTCCCTTGGCTGTGGCACAAATTTGTTCCGAGACAGCACCCAAACGTATTAAAATAATATATATATATATACACATAAACTTTTTGGGTTATCGCTTTATTGGACTCATGGCCCAGCTGTGGGATGACCTTTGACTTTGACCTTTGACAGAGGTGGTGAGTGTGAGCTTTTGGCTGAAATGGAAACTTGTTCTGCACATAATTGCAGATTTCAATCTGGAAGTCTTTTTGCTGTCCATATACGTTTTTTGTTTGTTGATCGTTCATTTGCATGCTGCATTCTTGCTGGGTTTTGAAACACAGTTTAGTCTCCCTCGATTCTTCATTTGTTGGAAAGGACCACCCTTTCATCCTGGACGTCATGAACACGTACCAGCCTGATGGCAAGCTCTTTCAAACACAATAGCTAGGAAGTGAAGTGAGGAAACTCACCTAATAGGAATGGCCTCCAACCTAGAAGCGATGTTCTGCAACCTAGAAGCGATGGCCTCCAACCTATATAATAGCGAGAGATAAAATTATTGAGATATTGGAGTATGATCGAATTGACGGAAAACATGGCTCCACTTCACAAGGTACGAGACTTCTTCCAGCTTCTATATCCTGATGGAGTATATCATGGGTGGAACTTTGCGACACGTCATCAAGGCAGGGATCTTGCTTTTCCAACCTTTTTGCTTTGTCTATGATTTTTGAGGACGAGAAGGCCTGAAACATCCCTGCCAGGAAATGCAGAAACCCTTTGAGCGCTCAGAAGCCAGATTCTATGTAGGGTCCCTGATTCTGGTCTTGGAGGTCTTGCATGACAGGCAGCGCTATAAAGCTCTTGGGGCACATCAGTGCATCGTCATGAGTCACAAGTGACAACGTAATCTGTTGCGTACCGACGACGACACGCAAGTATGGGAAGATGTCAGGATGTTCCGTGGATTGACTCAGGTGGTTTCATTGTCTCATTTTTGAAGGCACAATTTTGTTCGAGATAGTTTTGAACGGAAGGAATATTGTGTACCGGGACCTGAAGCCGGAGAATGTCATGGTAGATTCCAGAGGCTCTGGGCCTTGCCTCTTCGCATGTTGCAACGGCAACGACAGATATCCGATTTAGAGCCAGAAACCGCCGAGATGGAATTCCTCTCTGCTCAATACACTGTGACCCGCGGGCCAGGCTATGTCAAGCTTATTGACTTTGGAATTGCCAAACGTTTGGATGAGGACAGACAGAACTTTGTTGGGCCAGGGGCAAGGTGGAAAGGCAGGCATTGCAAGGCTGTTAGGAGGAGCGTCCTTGCTCCCAGTCGTTGCCGTGTCAGGATGGCCGTACTTTCACATGCATTGGCAGCCCACACTACATGGCCCCCGAGGCTGGGAGTGATCGGTTTGTTCCTTTGAGAATGAGGACATTCTGAGCAATCGTCATGATGAGGCAATTCTGAGCCGTCGAGAAGGATATGGCACGGAAGCAAGGATCATAGCATCACTCCATTCCCACAATTTGCCTGTCAACTTCCCTGCTAATTTCGAGGTTGACACCTGGGCATTGGGTATTTTGCTCTATGAATTAGTCTGTGGATGTCAACCATTCGGAGACGCTGTGAAGGAGAAGCAGGCTGTGGCCTGACTAGCACAGCTAGACAGTTCTGGACCCATTGGACTCCTTTGCGCAGGAAGTGTTTGAGGCTGTGCTGAAGCAGGCGCTGGAGGGGATAGGGGGGTTGTGCTTGGTGCAAGCGTGCTAAAGCTTGGCAAGCGACACAGGCGCTGATGTTTCCTGCAAGCTACAACGATGAATGTGGGAAAGACCTCCTGCAGGCTTGAGGACAAAGAGTAAAGAAGTTAGTGATTGGGCGCTCCTTTCCCCCAGGCCATGCTTGACAAAAGCCCAGAAAACCGACTTGGAGCTGGTGTGTTTGGATGGGATGACATCAAGGAGAGGAACTTACAGTAGATGAATTGCAGAAGGCAGGAAGCAGAACATGACCAAATCTTGCTGGTGCGAGTTACACTCAGTTTGGGACCATTGTGAACATTCTTGAGGTAGATATTCCTGCCGTTACTACACTACTTGATTGGGGCTTGGATACAAAATACCTAAAGGAAATACCATGCACCAGAGGAAGGGGCATGTCGATACGATTCACCAGAGGAAGGTGTGCGTCGCCATAATGTGGAAAGGAGCATGAGTACTTTGTCCACACCGACAAGGGAAACCTATTTGCTGCTTATCTGCAAAATCACATACAGTAAGTCTGAAAGTCCTATGTCTCAGACCAAGGATGATATTGTTGAGCGTCTATTGCTGCCACCTTATCTACCTGCTGGCGAATTTTCTTGCGATGAAGTGCCCCAGGCCAATGGAGTTTGGGATTTCGGCTTTTGCAGCTGAGATGCCTTTGCCATGGCTATGCGCCAGGAAGTTAGCATGAACAAGTGGAAAGCTGAAAAGACCATTGCTCGCACACGCACGCGGCAGTTGAGGCTGGATGACACTTTCTGTTGAGCATGAATAGGTTTGGCATTGCTGGATTCCTCAGGAGACCTGCTACTTTCGCGACTTTTACCTCCAAGTAAGGTTTTCTGCACAGAGGCCTGAGTGGGCTGTGATGCTTTGTGCTCCGAAGATGGTTTGCATTTGTTTGGTATTGTAGTATTGCTGGTTGATAATTCAACTTGTCCATGACTCTTTCCTCGTGTTTCTGAATCCTGCACGCAAGAGACTCTAGCAAATAAAAGCGAGGGCGGCAAAAGCTGCACCCATAAACCTTGTTGGTGGATCAGTTTCCTTGTCGTGTTTACATTGCTCAATGGGTGAAATGGGTCAGGAGTGAGAAACCATACCGCCAGCGATTAATTGAACAGACATTTGACATGATACTAGGTTTTCAGGGGTTTCGACATGGACAGAGGCTTTCACAAGGACAGCAAGGGGGGATATCCGTGGTGTGGAAGGACATTTGATTTAACAATGATAGGAACAAGCATGTTAGAAAACCATCATGTACATACTGTCACATGTCAAAATTTGCAAGTCCGAGGCTTGCCTCTTGCCTGGCTGCAGCCAGCAGACGCATTGATCCCCAGTCAACGCAGGTGCCACTTACTTGGTGGATTTCAGTTCTTATTCAAAGCCTGATGACAGAACAGAGAGAAAGTGAGTATGCTTGGTGCTTGGCTTCTGTTTGAAGCAATGCTTTACATATGCAGCATTTTTGGTCCAACTTCCAGGCTGTTGAAGATAGTCAGCTTGCCAATGGCATCGCTTCGCTGGTTGAGTGCCCTCAGTGTAGCTGTTCAGGTGGCAGGTCAGCCACAATCTTCGACCTGCTCAAACCCAACATGTTCCAGCCCTCCCTGTGCAGCGCCACTCTTGGGTGATGTGGGTTGCACTACCGTGTCGGGGACCGAGACGTACAACCATGAGCTTTTGACAGTTGGTTCCACAATTGCCAGCAATGCCCATATCTATGGTCCCTTTGAAGCTGGGTTCACATCAATGCAGAAGAGCATCATTGAGAATTGGGGTTGCACAGATGCTTCGGTGGCCTACGACTCCGAGGGTGGCACCGATATTGGAACTGCTGAAAGCAAAGTGTCAAAGGCTTGCAACATTGAGCTACCTCGCATTGAAGGCAACAACTACTACGGGGTGGTTGGCCCTTGTGGAGGTCACACAAACGACTACCACTTCCATCGCGGCTTCACTTGCTTGTATTCTGAAAGTGGTGCGCACTCCACCAAAGTGGGTGAAGTGGCCTCTCACAACATGTATGGAAAATGGGAAGACTATGATAATCAGAGGCTTCCTCTCTTGGATGCTTGTGGAGGTCACATTGGTCCCACTCCTGAATCCAGTACTGCCGTGTACCATTATCATGTGCAAGACCAGGCTCCTTTCACCGTTGGGTGTCATGGACCCAGTTCCAGTGGGGGCCTTGTCAGCGTAGCGACATGCCGTGCTTTGTACTCCGATTGCGACAATGACGGTGGCAGCGGCACCACGATTGAGCTGAAAACAGGGACTGTGGCCTACGATCGCTTTTGCCCTTGTTTTGATGCCGCAGGGTCCAACATGGGCACCAACATTCAAGAGCTCCCGGCCTTGAGTTCCACTGAGATCTACTACACTGTCAACAGCACCACCGACTCTTCCTCGGATTCTACTTCAACGATGCCATCAGCGACTATGGACTCGGCTACTGCTTGGAGCATATCAGCCTTCTTTGTCAGCGCATGCTACTTTCTGATGTTCCAACTGTAAGTCAAGAATCTGCAGGGCCATCATGTTGGAGAGACTGGCCTTTGTTGTTTGCTTCATTGGCTCCTCCGACAGTTCTAGGTTAGACATTTCCATTGCTGACTTGTTGGAATGTAGGACTTGATACCTGGCAGCTAACATTCAAATGTCAGGTGTAATTGAGCTAGCTCATTGAGGCTCATGAATTAGCATTTCGAAGCATTTTGGCCATGGTGCAGTTGGCGCCATGTTCCCCATGCAGAGGTGGCCGAAGGTCTCTCAATGGCTTCTATTGCACGCCATGCGTGAACACAAAGCGAAACGATCACATCCTTTCACTCCGAGCACGCTCCAAGACTCAACACCTCTTGAGTGCATACTAGTTTGACACCTTCTGAGGAAAGCTGAGTCCTCACAGCTGAAGGTAAATGTGTGATTGTGTGATGTCGCAGGAGAGTGCTGACACTTGGAAGAGATCAACGCACTGAAAGTCACAGGCAGAATCCCTTTGACATGCTTCAACGTCAACTTTCAGGAGTGATACACTTCCTGTCTGCTGTGTTGCATCAACTTTGATTTCAATTCATTCCTTTTTCTTGCTGTGGAAGTGATGTAAGATACTCTTTGTCGCCCCTGGCTCCAGAGCGTTGACGTGATTTATGACCTTCCTTCGATATGTCTTCACTAGGTTGCCTACAGTAACACTTCGTTGAGCAGGTTGTCAGCATCGGAACGACTTGCTATGCCACATACATTGATTTCTAGTGGCCTATCCGGCCTATCACCACTTGGGAGAACCGGGCCACACGAAATGGGTGGGCGCCAGAGCAAGCCTGATGAAGCACCGGCGCCATCCAGCTTGCAGGAGCTGGGAGAGGTGAAAGAGAACGGATGAGAAAGTCAACGAACGGAGTGAGAATTGAACGTCTACATGCAATTGTTGCAGTAGTTCTCAATCAGTAGATCAAAGCTCCAATTGTCACGTGCTGTGGAGGATGCTGCGACGAATCTGGATCAAAAGATCGAGGAAATCGGGGTGAAGATTCAGAAGGCAGAAGAGGAGGCCACTTCAGACTTGAAGATCTTGAAGGCAAACTTGCTAGTTGGACCTGTGCGTTCTCTTGAGGCGCGGCAGTGGGTGGCACAGCAGAGCATCCTCCTGAGTTGTTTTGCAGCAACGAGGTAGATGCAAGCGATTGAATATCTATCACATTTGGCAGCACAGGTTTTTGATCAATACTATACCGCTAGGCTTACTACTGAACTGGCAAACATTCTCTCTTCTCCTTGCAGTATCCAGCTGCATGATCACAGAATTGTGAGGTACCAACCCAACCGCAAAAGCACGTGCCATGCAAGCTTTGAAGCGAAGCTCGGCCTGAAATGACAGTGGAGTGTCACTGATGTAGCAGAAGCGAGACAGAGACATGAACAGAAGTCCTGTGCGACCAAGGGAAGAAGCTTTATGAGCAGCAGCGAGATCAGCTCGCACTTCACCCAGCGAGGGAATATCCAGGAGACCAATTTTTCCATACTTGAGTGATTCTTGCTGCACAGCACGATTCAGGTGAATACTCAATTCAATGTTGAGAACCTTGCCTTTCAGCAAGACCAGGTGGATTGGATATTGTTCTTGCCCCAATCATGTTGGGTCTTGCGATGCCAGGCTGAGATTACGGCACAAACCGTGCTGGCCATGAAGAAGGCTTCCCATGTTTTGTCCATTGACAGCTTTGACACTGTTTGTCCATTGGCAGCCGTTTGAGTGCATGTCTCGTTTTGAAGGCAACTGAGCAGCTCAAGGACCAACAGAAAAGGATGGGAGTTGAAGATGTCATGGCCCTGGAGGGTGGAAGCTAGCCGACTCCCTTCTCTGTAGTACGACTTTTGGCGATATGCTTGACTTTCTTTGAAAAAGGTCGACAAGCTCACTGATGACATGGCAGACATCCAGGCTGAAATGAAGGAGTTCAAAATGCCAAAGAAGATAGACAACACAGACACACAATATATAGACTCTGAATTGCTGAGAAAGATATGCGGGTTATTCATTTATTGAACTCTTCGGAGCCTCACCACTGTTTTTGTGTGGCGGAAGCAGCCAACGTTCCAGCACTCTTAGGAATTGTTCAGGAGTTTCCAGGCAATATGGCAGAGTGTCATCTTTTCAGCGACACGCCTGGAAGCATTTGATCCAGGACATCCAAGCTGCCCTGGCTGCTCCATCAGCACTGGGTGCGACCGGTGAAGATGAAGCAGAGGCAGAGCTGCAGGCGGAGCCGGAGCTGGAGCCATTTGAGCCATGTTCTTTTTTTGAGAACGCGTCAAGTTTCGCTCTTGAGACTCTTGCAATTGGCTCAACGTGTCTTTTTTTCTGTTGATAGGCTCTTTATGCACAGCAGTCGCAGAAGGAAGCAGAGGAGGTCTGGCTTTGCTCTATGAGTCCTTCTGCTAAGCCTAGAGGAAGACTTGTACACAACCTGCTTGTTCACTTAATATTTCCCCAGATAGCGAAGCTATGGGGTTCTTACTTCAAATAACATGAGTTGCCCGTGCCACTGCGTGCTTTCGAGACAGGTTGCTGGTGTTGGTGCCGGGTGCCGGTGCTGGTGCTGTGAGCTGGCTGTGCACGCTGGTGCTGTGAGCTGGCTGCGCGCGTGGTGGAGAAGGTTGCTGGTGCTGGGCGCCGGGTGCCGGTGCTGGTGCTGGTGGTGCCGGGTGCTGGTGCTGGTGCTGTGAGCTGGCTGTGAGCTGGCTGTGCACGTGGTGGAGACAGGTTGCTGGTGCTGGTGCTGGGTGCTGGGTGCTGGGTGCCGGTGCTGGTGCTGTGAGCTGGTGCCGGGTGCTGGTGCTGGTGCTGGTGCTGGGGCCGGTGCTGGTGCTGTTGTGCACGTGGTGGAAACAGGTTGCTGGTGCTGGGTGCCGGGTGCCGCTGGTGGTGCCGGGCGCTGGTGCTGTGAGCTGGCTGTGCACGTGGTGGAGACAGGTTGCTGGTGCTGGTGCTGGGTGCCGGGCGCCGGTGCGGGTGCTGTGAGCTGGCTGTGCGCGTGGTGGAGACAGGTGCTGGTGCTGGTGCTGCCGGTGCTGGCGCTGGTCCTGTGAGCTGGCTGCGCGTGAGGTGGAGACAGATTGCTGGTGCTGGTGCCGGGTGCCAGTGCTGGTGCTGTGAGCTGGCTGTGCACGTGGTAGTGGACTGGTGCTGGTGCCGGGCGCCGGTGCTTTTTGTGCTCGTTGTGTGCGTGGTGCAGATTGGGTGCTGGTGCCGGGTGCTGGCGCTGGCTGTGCGCGTAGTGGAGACACGCCACGCTGTATTGCGTGTAAAAATTGGAGCTGCTGCCTATGCAGGGTGCAGCCCAGAAAAACCTTTTGCATGCTTTTGCTATCTGGGGTCTATGCTGGAGTAATTTGTGTGTATAGCAAGGAATGTGTTGTTGATACAATTGCCAAAATGGCCATGCCATTTTGGCTCAAGCTGTGTCTCAGTGAGACTGTGATTCGAAAAATCTTCGACCCACCGCTTTTTCTTGCGAACTCTTGGCCTGCCGTGCTTCTCCCTCGACTACCCCTGCGGCTGAGCCGACCGCGGAGTGGATTGATGTCAGACGCCTGAGTCTCCCTTGGACGAGTGTCATGCTTGAGGAGGTCACAGATGTGGAGGTGGATGCAGCCCTCGCTCTGAACGATGCCATGACCTCAACCGCTGCGGCTGCAGCCCTGGGCACTTCGGGTGCTGACGGAAGGTTTCGCTGAGACGAAGTGTGAGGATGGCCTGGTGGCTGGGCTTCCCAGCTCACCGGGCCTGCGCAGCCGGTCGGACTGCTGGAATATCCGCCTGTGAGAGGGGAAATTAAAGGAACACCGGGCTTGGGCTACTTGTCCCCGTCAACTAAGGATCCTTGCCTGGCTTCACTGAGCTTCTGCTGAGGTGAGTTCATCCACCCATCGGCGACGACTTGCCCGAATCTTGGACTGCTTCAACCTTGCTGGAAAGGCTTTTGGAGGGCAATGTCATTGCAAAACGGGAGATGGGGTGCTCCTCTCCCAGCCTCACAACGAAGTCCTGCCTCCATGGACAAGGCACACCCTCCGTGAAAATTTGCGGAGCCAGCGCATCCCCTTAACAAACTCTTAACGGGTAGCCCAGGGCCAGCCCTTCCATCTCGAGATCTTGAGCAGCATCGCCCAGCAGCCACATCGGGGAGGGACTTGGGAGTGTCGAAGGAGGTGCTTACCAACTGACCTCTGTCCAGGACCAATGGCAGCGTTGATGAAGATAACAAAGTCCGCGCCATCAGCTGGGGAAGAGCCAATGCCAACATCAACCGTCCGGGACCCGTCCTGGACATCCACGAATTCCTTTCTGAAGTGCGATTCACGAAATAGGAGGTGGAACAAATGGTGGGCAGATTGAATTGCAATCTTTCTTGCCCGTTCCCTCCTGCAACCCTTTTGGACATGGTTCAAGGCCCTGGACAAGAGTGGAGCGCGTAGCCACCTTCTCCGCGTGATTGCCAAACTGGTGATGGCTCTCTTTTCTAAGAACACTGATCTTGATCGATCTGTTGAGCGCGAGCCCTTCCGCATTAGTGTCATCATCTTCTCTGCCCTGACTGCGAGTACCCAACGTATGCCACCCCTTCTCCTACATGAGTGTGACCTGCATCTGGCCACTTGAAGAGAGACTACAACGACTGGGCTGATGAGCTGTCACCCTGATCCTCAAACATTCAACGCAGCGAAGCGATTGGTTGACCCCTCCCATTTTCAATTGTTTCCATGTCATTGGAAGATTCTCACTATGTGTCCACTTTCTCCGTCTGTCCCTTTGTGATGCTTTGGCGCCGGTCTGCCCCTGGCAACCGCTAGGCTGGCTGTGACTGAGGTGACCCACCTGCGTGTTTTTGGCAGAGTGCCTGTGGTGGGTCGTTCTGTGAGTACACCTGCAGCAGCCGCATCAAGCGCCGTCATTTGCTTGCAAAAGAGGTGTGCCCAATGCTGCAGAGTCAGGGTTGGTAAACGAACCACTTTGAACTCGATTCAAGAACACTTAATAAAAGAGAGCGGGGGACTGTGAGAGTGCATTTGACTGTGAGAGTGCATTTTGTTTTTTTTAAAGTGTTTGGTATCATTTGACGCTCAAGATATGCAAAGACGCTTGTTTTCACTCTAGGGCAGAAGACACCACTCTACTCTAACATGGGGCCTGGGTTTTGGTGTTCCAAAAATTTTAGGTGAATGCTATTCCTGCTCTCTATATGAACAAATATATTATGTATTCCTGAGTCAGGGTCATCTTATTGTTTTGGAAGCAGCAAGCAGTCATTCAGATGGTTTTGAACAAAATAATTAGGAAAGAAGCAGGCCATAAAAGTGCCTCTAGATCTCTGCTTATAATTATGTTTAGATTTGGAAAGATTTTATATAGACGCTTTTATGTTACAAAAGATTCTCTATAGATCTCTGCAGATAATCATTTTTAGATTTAAACAACTATGTAGAAACCTTGTATGTGAAAAAGCTTTATTCTAGATTTCTGCGGGTAAGAGCTTGCATTTTCAAAGTTTCCCTCTGGATCTCTGGGAAAGTAGATATCCCATATATATGTGTTCTTGAAAGAAACATATTTATTGATAAATAGCATGTTTCAATTGACATGACCATTTCCAGAGATCCAGAGGAAAGCTATTGAAATGAAAGCTTTTATATGATTTTATTGTAGAAATGATCATCCCCAGAGACCTAGAGGGAAGCTTTTGAATTAGAGGCTTGTACATAAAACAACTTTAATATGTCTGTATTATTCCCAGTGATTAATGTAACAAACAAAACCTAACTATTTACTCCAAAAAAAGAGTTTTAGTCTTGTTCCCAGCGCTCCCAGGGCGAAAAAATACTGTAAAGCACGAGGTTTTGTAGCGTGTGTTTTCTTAAACTAAATAGACTAGAGCTAGAATAGAATTAGGTAGAATTAAGTTGGATTTGAGTTAGAGCTAAGATAGAACTGAATTAAAACCGAATTTCAACTAAACTTGTATTGAACTATAACTATAACCTATTTAAAATTGGATGAGAGTTGAATTAGAAAGGAATTGGAATTAAAATTAGAAGTTCGCCAGAATAAGATGTAAAATGCTTGAGCTACAAGATGCACAAGTCGAGGAGTCGAGGAGGCTTCGAAATTACAAAGCCGAAGCAAAAGCAACAAGCATTGAATTAGAACTACAGCTTACACAGATTCATAACAATTTCATGTAGATTGGAAGGTATCATTACAGTTTCATGTCAAGCTGATTGGACATGCAACTGGCAACCACATTGATACCAATCAGAAATTAATTCACAGACTTGTACATGGAGATTTCGACAAGGACGAAGGCTTTCATTGTAAGAGCAAAGAACACATGCCTTTAGGTGAGACTTAGGCTCACATACTTGAAGGTTAAACGAAATAATAAGAACACAGATGGACCTAAATAGGAAAACCCCAAAAAACCATGAGAAAACCAATAACAACCTAGGAAAAACCAAAAAACCAAAAAATCCTTGGGAAAGCCAAGCAGGCAAAAAACAACAACAATTCTGGGTAAGTCTTGAGGAAAGGGGGGGGGGCCAGCCAAGAGTCTCTGCGAATAGTTTTTTGTTTTGTTATTTTTGGTTTTCCCAAGGTTCTTTTAACGTTTTTTTTTGTTTGTTTTCAATGCTTTTTGTTTTCTCTATATATTCTCGAGACTGTTTGTGTTTGTTTTCCGGTGTAAAGGACATTGAGGCAGCTTTCACAGACACATAGCATGAATGCAGGCCACAGTGGGAAGTTTATAGCACATAGATGGACGTAGGCAGCAAAAACACATAAAATACGCACTCTGGTGGTCCCCTGTTTTGTAATAAAAACAGTATATGAATGATAATGACAATGAATATAGTAATAACAATAGGAACAGTTTTCAAAGCACTAAAAGCAACAACAGCAATATATATATATATATGTATATATAGTATTTGCGCAGTATGGCAGCAAGACCCCTTGCAATGCGATCTTGTGCCGGAGCCACACTGATTGCTGGGTTCAGGCCATGGCCATCCTTGCTGGTGGTGGCGGCGGGTACACACCCACCCCTGCTGTGCCCGCATCCAAAGCCGCTGCCAAAGCTGCGCCGTTGGCTGCTTGAGTCAAGGCACAGATAACCGAGGAAGACGGACGCGATTTCCTTGCTTCTTTGTGCCAGTTGCATGCTTTGCCCAGTTGATGTCTCCTTTTTGGTTGTTATCCCAAATGAGGCGCTGCTGGCAGCGACAATCGAGTGAAGCACTCCGCGAAAATGACCCTGCCTTTATAAACCAACTTTTTAGATTGCTTGTGGACTTGTTGTTGTTTCAGATTTGTGGAGTGGAGTAGTTGTTTTGCGCCGTTTTGCCTAGCTGT